AAAATATAGAAATTTAGATATTCATGGAAATATACTATGCCATGCTATATTATACTACACTGTACTATGTTATAGTACGCTATATGTATACTTTGAGAGGTTTTGAATAATTCTTGGAAATATAGAAATTTAGATGTACATTGAAATATGTGTGCTATACTATGTTATATTATACTATACTATATGTACAGTATACGCAGGTATGTAATTCCCTGAGGAAGTTAGATCAGTTCTAAGAAAGTATACGAGGTGAAGGGTTTGAAAAAAGAAAATATAGAAATATAGAAGTGTTGAAATATGAAAACAGAAATTTACAAACGTAGAAAGTAGCACTGTTTTTTCCATTACTAATATTTTTTCTAATTTCCAGGAGTTATTCGCTATCGTCCATGTTTTAACTCGAATATTTAATGTATTATTTTTAATAAAACAAAAAAAAAAAAAGAAAGAAACCAGACAATTGAGCACAGCGTTGAGCATCAAGAGTAATGTAAACGAACTGTTTGAAGATTCGCCGTGATGGAGATAATGTACTTTTAATTACTGATCTTCTAGACAGATAATTACACAGACATTTGAAAATCAATCGTGGTACGTAAGCTTTCACAGATGGAAGTATAAAGCGTACGCTCAATTGTTCTTTGCATTTATTCTTTTCCAGAAATGTCCGATTCTTTCTCATTCGATTTGAACTCCACCATGGGAATAAATCCACAGCAACACTAAGTACATACATTAAGGTTTTATTACAAAAATACGTACATCACTGGATAATTAAATACATTCACATGTATGAGCGAAATGCATGTCTGGAATACCTTGAATGAATCATGATCAACATAAATTAACATGGTTAAAATAACTGCGATATATCCTACAAAATATTTAATCTTTCTTTACCACTATCTTACCAATCAAACAGTCGTATCTTTCGTCTTATCGTCTCTATTTTACGTTTTATCACAAAACCTTAATAAAACCACCGTCCATTTATCTGATAAATGACTTACAACACACGTTTGCGCTCTTTTTTTTTTCTCTCTTTCTCTACAGCTTCCATGAAATTTACTCACCTTGTAAGCGAGCTACATCAATCGCCTGAAATACTACGAATACTATTAAACTGCGGATGTTGATGCACTTGTGTGTGAAATTAAAAATTGCAGAAATATGTAAGACACACCGTAATCGTACTCAGAATTGTAGGAGGTAAGAGGTACCAGTCGATCGACAAGATTATTCTGTACGAGAGAATAAACTATACATTTGCATAAACATCCTCTTCAGTCCAACCGTTATGTTCTTTTTTTACGTTCTTTACGTTTTAACGGGATGAAAAGCAGATGAAAAGGAATTTAGTATTCCTCGTCGTTCATGGCTCTTTTGTAGAAAGCCCGTGAGAAGCTTGCAGGATTCTGGCTGCCGCAGAAGAAGAAGCCACGACGCCAAAAGATGAAGATCGTCAGGCAGACTGGAATTGCGAGCATTATGCCGATCAACACGCCGATGAGGATCATCGCGTCTTTTTCCGGCCTTGCACCGTTCATGTCCAAACAACGCAACTTCCGATTGGATAACGATGTCAGGTTCTTGCCAGCGTGTTCCGGCGGCAAAGCACAGGTGAGTTTATTCACTTGCTCTCCCATGAGCTTCGGCCCGTACTTCGGCAGCAGTCTACTGATCTAGGAAATTGATTTAAAGTAAGTAACAGTATTTAAAGCAAGTAACATTTGTTTATATGCTTCGTTATCGATTATATAAGTAACATTTATATTAGTAATATTATATAAGTTAAGTATTATATTAGTAAGATTATATAAGTAACATGTATATTAGTAATATTATATAAG